TCGGAATTTAGGGGTATTCGGGACGTGTTCGGGGTGAGGGATGGCTGGTGAGGGATAGTTGGAAGGGTGAGATGGTGTGAGATACTGGAATTTGGAGGTGTGATGGTCCGGGGGGTGTGGGGTGGTATGAGGGGTGTGAGATGCTGGAATTTGGAGGTGCGATGGTTCGGAGGGTGTGGGGTGGTATGAGGGGTGTGAGATGCTGGAATTTGGAGGTGTGATGGTTTGGAGAGTGTGGGGTGGTGTGAGAGGTGTGCGATGGCTGGAGGTGAGGGATGGTTGGAAGGGTGAGATAGGGTGCGATGGTGTGCGATGGCTGCAATGTGGAGATGGTGTGGTGTGGTGTGGTGTGAGGGGTGTGGGCTGCTTGAACGTATCCGATGCCCCCATCCCCCCAGTGGCGCCTCTAACGCGGGTATAACCCGATACGATGCCGGCCACTCAGGCGGCCGCTGCACACCCCCAGCCCACCCAGCTCCTCCGTGGCTAATTGCCGCTAATTAGCGCTAATTACCCCGCGGGCCGGAGGCGGCCCCGCGCAGCCGCACCGCCCGCGCCTGCGCACCGGGCCCGCGGCCGAACCGCGCCTGCGCGGGGGCGGCGGGGAGGGGACGATGGAGGCGCGCAGGGCCCGGCGGCCCCGCGCCCCTCACAGCGCCCAGCGCCGCCAGCAGCGCCGCGGGGCCCGGCCCTGAGCCACGCCGTGAGTCGGGGCCCCGGGGGAGCAGCGCAGGGCGGCCCGCGGGGCAGCGCGGCCCGGCCGGGCGGCCCTGAGGGGGGAGCGGTGCGCGTGTCTGCGGTGCGCGTGTGTGTCCGCGGTGCCTGTCCCTGTGTCCGTCCCTGTGTCCCCTCTCCCGGTGCCATCCCCGGTGCTTGTCCCTGTGTCCCCTCCTGGTGCCCATCCCCGGTGCATGTCCCTCGGTGCCCGTCCCCGGTGCGTGTCCCTGTGTCCCCTCTCCCGGTCCCCATCCTCGGTGCGTGTCCCTGTGTCTCCCCTCCCGGTGCCCATCCCCGGTGCGTCTCGCTCTGTCTCCATCCCCGGTGCGTGTCCCTCTGTCCCCATCTCCAGTGCCCATCCCCGGTGCGTGTCCCTGTGTCCCCTCCCGGTGCCATCCCCGGTGTGTGTCCCTCTGTCCCCATCCCCGGTGCGTGTCCCTGTGTGCCCTGGCCCCGCTCAGGTCCCAAGTGGCCGCATTCCCCCATCCCGGTCCCTCGGTGGCTCCGGCAGAGCCCGGGGTGATCGCCGGGGCAGCCCCGAGGCCGGGGAACATTTCCCGCAGGGATGGACACCGGGCCGGCCCCGCTGTTTGTCCCCCGAGGGTCCCACCCTGGCTTTGTCCCGTCCGTGTTGGGGCTCCGGAGGGGAAGGGTTAACAAATGGACTTGTTTTGCCTGGGCCTTGCACACGTGATGGTCACACTGCCTGGTTTTTTGGTGGAAATAGCATCTGGGTGTGTAATCAAAACCTAAAATTGTAACTTGCTGGGTTTTAGTAGGGGTTTTGATTTTCTGCAGGCACACTAGAACATGAAGTTCTAAACTAAACCAAGCTTTGTCTGTCTGATGTAGTTGTTCCTTCTTTTTTTGTGTGTGTGTGTGAGAGGGGGTTTAGTGCCTTCGGGATGGAGTCATGGGCATGTAACCTCTGCTGGAGTGCTTTATTCAGCAAAATACAACAAAAGAAAGCTCCACAGTGCAGAGTGACCAAGCACACAGCGCTCTGCAGCAGTGGGACAAGAGGTGCAGTTTTGGGCAGAACATTGTCCTCTTATGCCCCAAGAGAAAGTCGATAATAAAGAACAAAATGAGTTTAGAATTACTGATATAATCTCTAAGAAATCAGTATAAATGCAGCAGCCTTGGAGGGGGGTTAAAGCACTGTGAGGACTTTGTCAGAGTGGACCCTGCAATAATCCTTTAACCAGGATGATTTAGGGCAGACACTTAACAGGAAAAGTTTGTTACGAAAGAACAGCTTACAAGCGTGGTCGTTATAAAATAAAATTCGATCCCTTGGTGATTTGCAGCCTTGCAGCTCCTTTGGGGGATGTCATGGGGTTGTGTAAAGATGGTTTCGTGAAACCCTTGGGAAGTTCTGGTTCAGGGAAACGTTCAGTGAAATTAAAACTGGGAAACTACAATAAACCTGGAGTTGGATCCATGTGTGAGGTGATTCACCTGACTGCAGTGTCACCATCACAGATATTTATTGTTAGATATTGACATGTTCTTAATTGTCCATCATTCTGCAGTGCTGGATGTTTTAATACTTATTTTTCTTGTGTTGTTTTTATTTTGGACATGATTTAAAACAGAGCAGCCTTTTCATTACTTTGTTACCATGTGCTTAAAAGTTTTTTGGATCCAATCCTGGAAGCTGTTCAGTGGCAGTTTTGTCTTATGTCAAGTCTGCTTATTCAATAAAGGTCTTGTGAGGGAATGTTAATTAAACAGTCCGTGGTGTAAGCTGTAGCTAAAACATCCTGAATTGGAAGGTATTACATGGAGGCAATATCAAGTTCTTAGGCTGTATTTAGTATGTCTGTACACTTCTTATTTCCAGTTTTGTGCTAATCTGATTTTCTTTGCTGTCAGCATCTGTCAGATGAACATTCTTCAGTCAAAGTCACATGGAAACACATCTTGCTTATTACATAAATTATTGTTCTCTGCCTCCCTAGCTCAACTAACGGGCACAAAATTTATATATCAGCTGGAATTGTCTAAAAATAGAGGTACATTTTTGCCAGTCTTAGCTGGACGAGATGACAAGGCTGTTGCAATGGCTGTTTCCCAAGCTGTGGTCACAGGTGACACAGCAGTGAGTAACCCAGTTAAACATTGATACCTTTCAAGGGCAGGATGCTATAAATCATTAACGGCTGGCAGTAATTGCACCTCTTTGTAGTGATGCTCTCCTCGGGTAAGCCTAAACTACAGCAGGAGCAAAAGCACTTTCTAATTTGATTAGGTGGTGGTGCTGTCTAATTTAGTAATGAGTCTAAAATTACAGCTGATTTTTTTTTATTTTATGGTTTTGTTGTCTGCGAATTGGGGTTCTGGTGAAATTATGGGGTTTGCCATTCTCTGGGGACTTTCCCTGCAGATATTTTCCTTGTGTGATGATTTCCCACAAGGAAGTCCATTTTAATGGACCAATCTTTAGTTCCTTTCTCTGCAGGATGAGGTGGGAGCTTCATCCAGAGCAATGAAACTGTTGGAAAAAAAAATCTGCAAGTTTTTACTGAATCATCTTTTCCCCCTGTGTTGGAATCAACTGACTTGAGGAATGTGCTGTTCCTCTGGGTTGCTCTCACATGGATACTATTTGTTTATGGTTTAGTGTTTATTCATACACTGAAAGTTGGTTTCTATTTTTATTCTGATAAGGCTTCTTCTCTGCTTGCTTTGAGTAATGATGAGAACTTGCCCACAAGATCTCTACAGTTATTTCAAGTTTGGGGTTTGGTTTTTTTTTTTTACTTCTGCAAAGCTGTGCTCTAACCAACTGTTTATCTTTCATTTGTGCTGGTTGTTCGTGGAACTGAAATACTGCACATTTGTCCTTATTTTGTCCTGTTTGTTTTGGATCATCTCCCCAGTTTGTCAAAAATGAGTTAAGGACTTAGGTATTGTCCTCCAGCTTGTTTTTGTCTCTCCTCAGCTTGGTATTAACCTTTTTTTTTTCAAACGCTGAGGCTTATTAAGGTTATTTCTGTTGCATTATCTGACAGGGTTTGGTGGTTTTTTGCTCTTAGAATATTCTATTTTATGTGTTTGATATATGTATCACCTTATAGGAGACTTTATAGTCTTTCCTGAGTCTTGATTCCTTAGCTCATATTTAAAGCTTTTCTTTCTTTTCAATATCTAAAAGAAATTAATTTTATCTCTTATGTAACTGAAGACACAAATCTATGCTGGTCTTGAAACAACTTTCTACTGAGCCTCTTTTCAGTCTGGGAACACTCTGGTCATTTTTAATTCCAGGAACTTCTGATTACCTTGAAGACCTTCCCAGATTCTTTGGAGAATTCTTTATTAGCGTGTGTGAACTCTGTGTTTAGTGTATCATGCTCCTCCAGCTTTTCTTGCAGGGATTTTGAAGCACTTTAATTTAATTTAAAAATGACTGTGGGGGCCCTTGGTCAGCAGCGCTGACCACAGAGCAGGAGCTGCAGGAAGCAGGGGAGTGCCTCAAAGCACCAGCTCATCTTCTGAGCAGTTCCAGGAGTTTCTTGATGTTGAACACAACTCCAGTAATTTTTTCACGTTCAGCCTGTTATCTACTGAGAGAAGAGGGATTGTGTTACAAAGCTTCTGTTTTCCTTTGAGCCGGCTGAAGCCATAATTGGAATTTAAAGGAGAGCTCCGTTACCTTTGCGAACGCTGAGATTTTTTTTTTTGATTTTTTTTTGCCTCTCCCTCTCCTCTGCAGGGATTGAATTTCTGTCTGGCTGAGGTTCCTTCAGCTCCAGCATGGAGATGAGTCGGGAGAAGCTGTGTGCCAGCAAGGCTGATGGGAGCTCAGACTCTGCCTACCACTGCTCGGCGTGTCACAGCGATGAGGACTGGGGCAGCACGAGCCGGGGCCGAGCCAAGTCACGGAGTTTGTCGGCTTCACCAGCCCTTGGAAGCACCAAAGAATTCAGGTGAGAGGCCCCTGTGTCTTCCCCTTGTTGTTAAAATTTATGAAGTTTAACTGGATTTTAATGTTTTTTTTAATACGGCCGCGAGGGATTCTTAAAATGCGCCTCGGAAGGTGAATTCACAATGAAGAGGGGGAGTTGAGGGTGGGGTGTTGACTAAGAGCAGACTCAGAATCAAAGTTTCATGGCTTGTCAAAACAGGTGTCTGCAGAGCTCACAGTCTCACAAAAAATAATCAGGCAACACTAGAGACAATTCTTCAGACTTTTACAAAAGCTCAATAAGAAATAAAAGCTCAATAACAAATAAGAGCTTTAGTGCTGTGTGTTAGGTTAAGTGTGAGGCAGCAAAAAGTAAGTTTGTGTTTGCAGATGGTTTCAGAGCAGTGAGAAACACCAGTTCTTTTTTTGGAGCCAAATTTCTGATCTCATTGCAAGGCTCCTGTCATGTGGACAGGGTGGGTGGAACTTCTGATCTTTGGACCCACTGTAAATATTGAACAGTGGGCAGGGGCAACGCCGTGTCTCGATCTTGTGGGAGGCACAGCAGGACTTCACCTTCCCTGTGCTGTGACTGTCCCCAAAGCATGGGCAGAGCCACGAGGGAGCTGCTCAGCAGATGGAATTTCTGTTCAGGGCTCCTGCTTTGCTGGTAGGAATGTTCTTGGGAGGCAAGAGCACACACGGGTGAGGCTGGAGAGCACAGGGGGCGGCTTTGTGGTGAAGGGAGGCAAACTAAAAGCCTTGAAAGCCTGGGGAAAATAGCTGCTTTGTGTTTGTAGTTCAGGGTAGTTGATTTTTTTGTAAAGAGATTTTTTTTTTTTTTTTTTTTTTTTTTTTTTTTTTTTGAAGGCTGTGGTGTGTTGTAGCTCTGGTCACCTGTGTGTGATCAGTATGTAAGACTTGATATTTCAGTTATGCTGTAGAACTGGTGCTTTTCCCTTCTCTACTCAAACCTTTCAGTCAATCTGCATAGAAGACCACGTGCTCTAAATTTTTGGGCATTATTTTCTAGCTAAACAGCTGCTTTTTCAACCACGAGTGCCATGTCCATTGTGGGTTTGAATCAGGGTAATTGCTTCTGAGATTTGCCTTCATTAGGATGCTCTGCAGTCATTCACTGGCTGGTTTCACTTCTGAATTGTCTCCTGGCATTTTGCAGGCCCTCAGGAAGTGCTGCTCTCAGCCTTCCTCTGTGATGTTCAGCTCCAGGTATCTGCCCAGCTGCTGGGAACTGATAAGTGGATTTCCCTAGAAGATGTATCATTTCCAGGGCATTGCTGCTCATTCTTAGCAAAGGCAGCCTGACTATGAATGGCTTGAAATTCTGTTTACTCAGGCACTTTATTGAGCACCAATAAAACCGAGTGAAATATCGGGGGAAAATTACAGCAGTTAGTAATTAGGCTTTGTAGGGAGAACTTTTGGAATGTCATGAGGGTCAGACATGGATATTTAATGTCTCATGTGGGAACAGAATTTGACCAATTACTGGGAGTGGCTTCAAATAATGACCTGTGTTGGGAGAAGGCAAAAATTACAGTTATCTGGGGAAGCTGGAGTGGAGCAAGAAGTGGGAGGTGATGCTGCCAAGCTGTTATTTAACCATCCTAATGCCAAGGGTAATTGTTCACAAGTAGATAGAGACTTATCATCCCTTTGCCCATATTGACACACACATTAATCTCTTGTTATGTCAGTCCTTGCTTGTTTTTCTGTTTTAATATAAATAAGATAAACTTTATAAAACACTTAGTAATGCTCTTATCTGACTTGGTAAGTCATGCCTGGATTTACAGATGGAAAAGAAATTATTCTGGTTTTGTTATTGCAATTCAAATCTTAGATTGGCATATTTTATTAGGCAAGGGACAAATAAGATGTTGCTGTTGTTCCTTAATTATGTGTTTAACTTGTTTTGATTTTTATTAGATTTCTGAGGGGTTTTTTTTAGCTCTAGGAGTGAGTCATCAGGCTGGACTGAGCTACTTTGTAACACACAATAGAAGGCTGTGCAGTGATGATTGTTACAAGCAAGATGTGATTGAATTAAGACCAGGAAAGGAACGTTTCCCCTTTCTTTATAATGGAATAATTCTAATAGCAGTCAAATAATGCTTCAACAGTTCCATGACTTGAGCAAGTTTTGCTCTCAGTTCCAGCTTTGCTGGGGAGTTTGGCAGGGAGGTGAGGCAGAAGAGTTCTGACTTTCTCCAGATATTCTCATCCTAGAGCCAGGAATAATCCCATTTATGTCCTGGTGGGATTCAAGTTTGAGGATAAAGGACACCTAAAGATTTTATTAGAGAAATAAATGGGGGGAAATAGCAATTTTTTTTCAACCTGTTCAAAATTGAAGCCTGATATTGCAAATACAAATCTCCATGTGCCTTAGAGTTGAAGAATTTGTTTGATTAATTCATTAAGGGTATTTAAATGACCAAGCCACACATCACTGTGACTTGACCACGCCAAAAACATCTGAAGGTGTTGGAGAGCTCCTTATAAATGCTTGTCAAGTCATACACTGGGAAACTCCATTTCCCCTAATTCCCAAAAACCCAATGTACATTACTGCCCTTAGAGAGGGGGAGAGCACTCACTGAGCTCTTTTAGCTGTGTTTATTCCAGCTTCAGTCATTCTAAAAGATGTGCTTTTAGATAAGATGTAGTGCTTAGAGAAACACTGAATAAAAGTGTTGTTCTTGTGCCTGCAGCAGTGAAACTGCTGTGACTGAGGAACTGCTGGGCAGTTGGAATTGTGAGAGCCAACCTGTAAAATTGCCCTGCCTGGGAAGCTCTCACAGAGGTTTCAGAAATGCACTTTGCCCTGTGTTGCTTTTGTACAGCTGGGTCAGAGGAGAGAGGGTTTGGTGTTTGAGCAGCCAGACCCGAGTGTCAGCACCTCTCTCCTCCTCACTGATTATCTCCTCTGCCTCCAGGAGAACACGCTCCCTGCATGGACCATGCCCAGTGACCACGTTTGGACCAAAGGCCTGCATGCTGCAGAATCCTAAAACGATTATGTGAGTACTCATCCCAGCAGGGCCACTGTGCTCCTTCTGTGGCAAAGAAAACCACTTGGCTTTTCCACTGATTCCATTTTTTTCACTGCCTATTCAGCACTGTTTGTATTTTACCTGATACTTAGAGGTTTTCATGTTGCTTGATGGCCATCCTGGGGTCAGCTTTGCCAAGTTGGCATGGTCTGCAATCCATAGTTTTGTGTCTAAAATGCCAACTCTCTTATTTCCAACTCAATAAAAATTCTTTTGGGCACCACAAGGGGAGGAAGAGGAACTGTTCTGTGTGCTGTGAAATTTGAGGGAGGCTTTCTCCCTCCTTTGGTGATGATGTTTGAACCTGTACTTTCAATTTTGGTGTTTGGTCCCTGGCATTTTCAGTGAAAGCAAGTTTGCTTTTAGACTGTTGTTAGATGTGGAAATAAGGGCTGGTTTCTGCTTAATGGGAAAATAAACATTTTAATTTTGTAGGCTGGGTGGCATAAAGTGTTGCTTTCTGCACCATTCTGTAATAAATGGAGTCTTGGCCAGGTGAGGAATTCCAGGTTTAACCAAAGTGATGGTCCCTGGTTTTGGGGGGGCCTGGCACAAAGAAGCTGTGGCTGCCCCCCTTGGAAGTGTCCAAGAGCAGTTTGGGTGTGGCTTGGAGCCACCTGAGATGGTGGAAGGTGGGACTGGATGGGCTTTAAGGTCCTTTTAACACAAACCATTCCGTGACTTTTTGCACCTTTAAAAAGGTTTTTTTTTAATTGCTCTTCCAGTTAACTCTAAGATACTGCAGTCAATATTTACTTGCCTAAATCTCTACCTCTGTAGGCTGTAACCTTCCTGGTGATATCCATCACTTCTCTGGGAAGGTGTAACACCAGTCCCTCCTTTTGGCAACTCAGAGTTTCCTCATTCTCCCCTGGTGCTGTAAAGGGCCCTGGGCTGTGCAGAGCAGCTGAAAGCCAGCCCACATTGTGTTTACCCACCTGACCTGGGCAATTGCTCCTCCCAGGGGCTGGCCTGGGCCAGGGATATAAGGACAGGGACAGGATTGTGCCAGGGAGAAGCTTGGGCAGGCAGAGCAGGGAGCAGAGCTGCCCCCAGGCTGCTGAAGGCAAGGACTGTTTGAAAAGCTAATTATAAATTACTTTTACTGCACACCAGCTTTTGTGGGTTTTAAAAACCAGCAAAACCTCGTTGGTGTTTTTCCCCCTCTGCTGTGGGTAATTTTGTTAAACTCTCCTCACTGGAGGGATTATTTTTAAGAGAAAATTGTAGTTTTTATGTGGAGGCTGAAGTTAGGGAAGATTGGGTGTCTCTTTCAATACAACCAGCAGCTCTAGAGCTTGCAAACCTGTTTTTTGATGAGCAGATGAATTGAATGAATACTCACTGAAGAAAGGATCAGGGGCTTGTGCTCTTGAGAGAAGGGGAAATCAAATACCTGTTTATTTTTCTTGAAATGGGATTTTCTTTATGAAAGCTTGCCTCGAAGATCTGGAATATAAGTTTTACATAGGATTTTTTGTAAAGCCTCACAACTTTTTATCAGAACTGACTGAAACCTTCAATAGAAGAAAAAACATTTTTCAGGGAAAAATGTATTATTCTGAGGTTGCAGTTATTAATAAGTGATAAAAGCCTCAGCCTTTTGTTTTATTTGGAGTTGTTGCATTTGCCTGAGCCCTGGAAAGAAACATGAAGATCTTAAAGCAAGTTATTCATAACTTTTCATTCAGTAGAACTGGATGGAATTGGTGAGTACAGCTGAAATGGGCAGAGTGGCTTTTATTTGAATGAAATTGGTGCTAGTTCTGGTTTATTCAGTGCTGCAATCCCTAATTCTTTTCAGCATTATTGATATTAGAGCCCTGCATTAACCTTTAGTTTCTGCTGTGTTTGTATCTGAAATGTGAGCACTGAAAATTAATTTTAAATTTGCATTAAGCTGTTTGACTTAGAGTATTGGATGGGGAATGACTTTTTCAGATCCTCTAATTGAATATTTCTCCTTTTGAATCAGCACTAAACCAAGAGGAAAGCAGCACTGTGGTGTCAGTCAGTTGAGGAACTTGATCTGAGAGCTTTTGTGGTGTTTCTGTTCAGGTCCCTGTTGGCCCAGGTCATTCACAGGACAGCAGGGACCAGAATTATTGATTCTGGATTATCACCTGCATGTTGCAAAGCACAGAAACATCACTGCAATGTGAATTATTGCCTTAGAACCATCACTGCAATGTGAATTATTGCCTCAGAACCATCACTGCAATGTGAATTATTGCCTCAGAACCATCACTGCAATGTGAATTATTGCCTCAGAACCATCACTGCAACGTGAATTTTTGCCTTTCCCTGCCTGGTGTGTGGGGCTGTGTGCTCTCCACACTGGAGGATGTGTTTTTTACCAGGTCCCAAAGGTGGCAGAGCAGCCTGTGCTGATGTTTGGGGTTTGTTTTGTCCCCCAGGCACATTCAGGACCCAGCAAGCCAGCGGTTGACATGGAACAAACCTCCCAAGAGTGTCCTTGTGATTAAGAAGATCCGTGATGCCAGTCTGCTGCAGCCCTTCAAAGAGCTCTGTGTGTACCTCACCGAGGTGAGAAAATCCAAATTACACCTCAGCTCTCTCCAACTGCTGATTCTGGGCAGAATTTGTGCAAACAAATCTTTATACCCACTGCCACTGGGTCTATTAAAAGTTGTTGCAGAAGTTAAGATCAGTGTGAAGCTTAAAACAAAAACTATTAAAGTAAAATCATCCCTTCTGTTTGAAGCTCTAAATTAAAGGCATGGGATATAAAAATCTTAAATCTTTAAGCCTTGAGCAAACACAGCAATGTTGCTGTATCATGTAATCTATATGCCAAGCTTTAATTTATTATACACTACAAAATTCTCCTTGGGATCAGACCACACATCAGGAACACCCAGCAGGTGCAGAACACTACTGTAAATATGATTTATGTGTCTGAAATGAATGGAAATTATGGAGAGAGTCAAGTATATTGGTAGGAGGTCCCTCACAAGCTCCTTTTCTCTCTCTTCAGGAGAACAATATGATAGTGTATGTAGAAAAAAAAGTCCTGGAAGACCCTGCTATAGCTAATGATGAGAATTTTGGACCAGTGAAGAAGAAATTTTGCACCTTCAGAGAAGGTATGGAAGTGATTTATTGAAAGGATAGTTGGAGTGTATTTTTTTTGTCTTGGTGATTTCTTGGTTATTGGGTCAGATTTGTAAAACTTTTGTGTCTTTTGCAGACAGTTGTTACATCTTAGTTGTGCTTTTTTCTATATTTGTGAGGGAATGTTTGCTGCAAATTGTAATTTTTCTTGGTTTTTTTTTTTTGTTCGTTTGTTTGTTTTGGGTTTTTTTGTTAGGAAATTAAGATTGTGGATACAATTTAATTCAAAACTTTTTCTTTCAATGTTGCTCCTAGACTATGATGATATCTCCAATCGGATAGACTTTATCATTTGCCTGGGAGGAGATGGGACCTTACTTTATGCTTCCTCACTTTTCCAGGTTGGTTCTGATGGGAAATAGCCCCATAAACATTTTATTTTGGAAGTATTAAAAGTTTTTTTTGTTTTTTTTCCTCCCCTTTTGTTGCTGAGTTCAACAGTTGTCTTTTATTCTTAATTTCTTCTTTTTTGTGTGAAAAGAATGTCAAATGTGTTGTTTTTTTATTAAGCACAGTTGAAGTTTCATCAATAGTCACAATATTTACAGGCAAATAGTTGAAGTATGGATTGCTTTGACTGAGTAGCTTTAAAACTCTTTTCTTTATTGATAGGGTAGTGTACCTCCAGTTATGGCTTTTCATCTGGGATCCCTTGGATTTCTTACTCCATTTAATTTTGAGAATTTTCAGTCCCAAGTCACTCAGGTTATAGAAGGTAAATTTAAGGGGACAAGGTGTGGTGTTTGTTTGTTACTTTTTCTTAATCAACTCTTCTAGGTTGGCCCTTAAGATTTGAAACTTGAGAAATGTATCTGAAATTAAGAGAAACCTTAAATTATCAGAAGTTTTACATTGTATTGACCCATCCAGTGGTCTGGAAATGAAAAAGGCTAAGAAATAACTTTATGGAGTAAATAAGTGTAAGATAATGTAGAATTTATGTTAAATGGCAACTAAACATAAAGTGCAGTGTTTAAATACTGAGAGGTCAAGCAAATAAAATATTTGAGGAAATAAATTCTTTGTTTCTTCAATATGAGGTTGAGTTGCATCCAAAGTAGATTCCTGAAAAGATGTATAAAACTCTCACTGGAATGTTATTTTTTAATACATGTTTCTAATGCTTTAATTTTCTTTAAGCTTATCTTTTGTTTTACTAAAGATCACATGAGCCCAAGAGTGTTTTCCCATTTTAATCATGTCTATATATAAAATTTTCTTTTTATATGATGAGAAAAGTGGGAAGGGACTGGCTTGAAATTTGATTTTTTGCTCATTGCTACTAAAAACCAGTTTTGAGCTTCAGCCAAATGTAGGCAATTATGTTGTGAATGAAACTGGGAATGTTGAAAGCTCAGGAATAGATGGATGGCATTTCATAGAGTGTTTTAGTCACTCTGGGGTTATTTTCTGTGCCAGCTCCTCATTTTGGTGTGTGCTCTCCCTGTGTGTCCCTGCAGGCAATGCAGCTCTCGTGCTCAGGAGCAGGCTCAAGGTGAAGGTGGTGAAGGAGCACAGGGACAAAAGCCCAGTGCACAATGGCATAGAGGAGAATGGAGTCGTGTCTGCAAACCTGGAGAAAGAAGTGGGCAAACAAATTATGCAGTATCAGGTCAGAGGGCAAAACAAGCCAGAAAAACCAATATGTTGTTGGTAATTTGTGCCTGTTTCATTAAAACTCTGCCTTGCTGCTCACAGAGTGCTCTAAATGCTGAGGGGCTGCTGCACACATTTCCTTTGTGCAGTCAGAAGTGCTCACCCCACATTTCACTGTAGAAATGATTTCACAAAATTGTTTAGGCTGGAAAATATCTCCAAGCTTGAGTCCAACCTTCCTTCTGTTTTGAAAACGAAGTAGTAGTTCTAAAGTCAACACACCAGACATTTTTATAAATGAGAAGAAAAATGCTGTACTTTGTTAGTGACCAGCTCTTGGGATTAATTCTTAACATCTCAGAACTTCAGGTGGCACTTCATAGGACAGAAGTGTCAAGAGACTTTAATTTGCAGGGACTAAACCAGCACGAATTTTTAGGAGATGTGGAAAACGTGTTCTGTTTGTGACATTTATTTCATTGCCAAGGCTGGAGTAATGTTTGGTGTCGTGGCAGGTCCTCAATGAAGTCGTGGTGGATCGTGGCCCTTCCTCCTACCTGTCCAACGTGGATGTGTTTCTGGATGGGCACCTGATAACCACAGTGCAAGGAGATGGTGAGTGCTGCTGGCTTCTCCTGGAGGATTTGCTGTCCTGGAAACAGAGCTCGAGTCTGACAGCAAACACAAGTGTGCAAAGAATGGGCGTGTTCATTCCCACAGTGCAGCTTTAGGTGCTGAAAGATTTTGTTTGTGGGCAAGTGAGGGCAAGTAGCTCTTTTTTGGGATATTGTATTTCAGGCTAAGGGTAAGAAACAACTCAGAAAAGATTGGCCTGGATATCTGGGATTTGCTGAAGGCAAACAATCTCAACTCATGAATGACAGGAGTTAATCTTAAAAGCTCTTATCCTCAAAGAAAAAAAAATGAAAGTCACTATTACAGAATTGTGTAACCCGAGTTTGTGCAACTTCTTAAACCACGTGGCAGGGTCGGGGGGAATTTTTGTGTGTGTTGGGCTGCAGCTGAGCTGTGAAATCCAAGGGGAGAGGTTCACTTTGCTGACATGGGGTGTGTTGGTGTCCCCCAGAGCAGTCCCTGGTGGTGTCAGAGCTGATGCTGTGTCCTGTTTGCTGTCCCCAGGGGTGGATGGGGTGTGTTGGTGTCCCCCAGAGCAGTCCCTGGTGGTGTCAGAGCTGATGCTGTGTCCTGTTTGCTGTCCCCAGGGGTGATCGTGTCCACGCCCACCGGCAGCACCGCGTACGCGGCCGCGGCCGGAGCCTCCATGATGCACCCCAACGTCCCTGCCATCATGATCACCCCCATCTGCCCCCACTCCCTGTCCTTCAGACCCATCGTGGTTCCTGCTGGAGTGGAACTCAAGGTTGGCTTCTGTCGTTTTATTTCTCCTTGTGGATTAAGAAGTTCTGCAGTGGCCTCAGGAATGTGAGGAGGGTGGGAAGTGCTGTGTGGCTCCTGCTTCCTCTCACTTGGAGCAGGATCAGGCCAAGGCTGGAACAAGAATGTGCCTTTCTTTAGAAGAATTTACCCACCACTGGAATTCTTTACACTTTTCCTACTGGACTGTAGCTCTGTAACACATTCTACAAAATGGGAATTCCTACATTTGCATTCTGAAAAATGTTCCATCATCTTGGTTAAAGTGCCTGTAAATGATCAGTGAAGGGAATCAAAAATTCTCCTTTCATGCAGAAATATTGCAGATCTTAAGTATATACTGGCAGTATTATCTGCAATTCACTATTTAGCTGTTGTTAATGTTGTTTTACAGAGAAAAGACATTTAATAGGTGAATATAAAATAGAATTGGTTAATGAGTATTTTGGACAAATTCTCTTGTGCAAGGAAGAGCCCCTTTCTCCTTTTGTCTCTGTTACCAGCCTGCTTAAGTGGGAAGGGAGCTGATTTGTCAGGGCTCCTAGGGATGGCAGAGGATGAGAAATGAGTGTGGTCTGGACTTTTTTTCCTGTTTTACAACATAAATTCAATGTTTATGCATGGCACTGCTCTCAGCCCACGCTTTATGTCAGTGGGTGTTACTGGCCAGTGGTTAATTCTTCCAATAGGAATATAAATAGGAGCCAAACTTACTAAATTTGATAGCTTTTAATTAATTCTATATTAATTCATTCAATATATATTATATAATGAATATTATATATTCATTCTATTATATTGCTTTTGATTCATTAAAATCTATTTTTCTGTATTAACCTCATTATTTTTCTTGAAAGAGAAACTAAGTTAGCTCCTGTAACTGAATTAAAACATGAACTGACTGGAACTGGAGGGTTTGTGTGGGTTATGACCTTGTACTTATAAAAAGGAGATTTACTGCATATGGAAAAATAGATGTTTATAAACAAAAAATAAAGTGGTGTTACAGCACTGCTGCCATGGACAGCTGAGGAATTCCAGTGCAACTGTGGAGTTCCAGAGACTCATTTCTGCACTCAGAGGGAGGATGGAGGAGGTGTTTGTTCCTTGCTCTTGAGTTTTGGACCTGAAGTTCAGCTGATTGCTGTTTTTCAGATTATGCTCTCCCCAGATGCCAGGAACACAGCGTGGGTTTCGTTTGATGGAAGGAAGAGGCAGGAAATATGCCATGGAGACAGGTCAGACCTTTTTTCTGATTGTATTATCTCTAAGTATAGAAAATCCTGATTCATGCAGCTCCCTCATTCTCTAACATCTGCCAAAAAGGTTTTTGGCAATGAAAAAAGAAGCTTTTATAAACCCTTAACACCTCCTAGAGCACAAACTGCACTAAAAGGATTTAATTTCTAACTTGAGTTCTTTAGATCTTCCCATAAAAGCAAGTGAAATGTTCAGACTCTGTAAACATTGCATGCTTGGCAAGGAAGGTGGGCATATCTTTAGAAAACTCTGTGAATTTTAACTTCAAGATAAATCTTAGGAATTCTTAATTAAAATGAAATCTTAGGAAAAAGACACAAACCAACAGGAGCTGCCTGTGAGCATGGGTGCTGGAAAACTCCATGTGGATTAAACTGGGTTAACTGGGAGTGGTTGTGGTCACTTGCTCTGGCCATGAGAGAGCAGAAGGGAGTGAAGTCCCTCAGTTTTGTGTTTAGCACATGGTGTGGGGGTGATTAAAGGCAGCTCTGGGATGGAGATTGGCAGATTTGTTATTCAAGATGCTCTTTTTCCTCTTGGCCCACCCAAGTTGCCATGAAGGAGAATGTAGAGCTGGTGTAAGGCTCCATCCTGAACAGGTTTGATTTCCTCTGAGCTTGGATCATCTATAAAGGAGTTCAGGAGCCCAGTAAAGATTCCAGCACGAGGTTTGGCCCTTGTTGCATTCTGGAATCCTTGGGCTTCTTGCTTAAAACTGGAACCTGAAGGGCCAAGGTGGTGCCTTGGCTTTCCTTTGTCCCCGTGTGGGTGATGCCATGGAGGGGTTCACAGGAAGTGTCCCCAGAGCTGTGCCGCTTCTCTAAAGCCCAGCTGAGCCCAGCTTTAGTTCTGATCATGGCTCATGGCAAAGCTGTTGTTTGGTGCTGGGACGGGCTGGGGGTGTCCACGTCGCTGCCGTCCCTGCCTGACTGCCCTGTGCTGTTGCAGTATCAGCATCACTACCTCTTGCTACCCCCTGCCCTCCATCTGCTTCCGGGACCCCGTGAGCGACTGGTTCGAGAGCCTGGCCGAGTGCCTGCACTGGAACGTCCGCAAGAAGCAGAACAACTTCACGGTGGAGGAGGAGGAGTTCTGAGAGTCCCCGCCCAGCAGGGCAGCCCCGCACGCTCCCGGGCGCTGCCCCAGCGCTGCCTTGTGACTCTGCTTTCCACCCCTCACATGTGTGGCTGGGAAGGGTTGTGCTCCTTCCTCTCCACCAGGAGTGGGGCTGGAAGGCTCTGATGGTTCTAATCCAGCGTGAATTTCCTTCCAAATGAGCGGCCTGGAGAATGGATGGTTCCTGATTGCTATCAAAAAATCACATCTGCAGATTTGATTGTAACCTCTGACTTACCAGTTCCATGGTAGGGTGAATGTAGCTACACCAGGGGAAAGTGGCAGCAGAAAAGTGGCATTAAAATCTTTAATTTGATAGGTTTGTAACTCCATTTAACACTGCTAGCAGCAGAAAGGCTCTGAGAAGTTTTCTTCAAAAAAAAAAAAACCAAGCTCCTCTTTGTTATCTTAAATAGGCCTTGCCCAGAAAATACTTTCTTACTTGCAAGTGTGACACTCTGAAGAAACACCCACAAAGGGTGTTTTTTATTAATAGATGGAATTAGTAATAAAAAGTATATATTTTTTATATATACAATTTTCTCTCTTGTGCCCATTTGAGCAGTGGCTGACCCTTGGCTGTCAGCACTGTGGAAATACCCACAAACAGCAGGGATGAGCATTAATTATTACAGGTTTCTCTGGGTTTGTAGCTGAGCTAATTCACAGCTCTGCACTTCCTCTTGGTGGGAATCATCCATGTGTTGGTTTTTCTTCTTATTTTTGTTTGATTCCCTGGGATAAATGGTAGCATTAGAGACTATCATGTTTTAAAAAAAAAAAAAGTAATTCTCAAGTGTTGAAGAAGAATCTGGACTTCAGTTGCTACTGAATTCTAGTTCCACTGTTGTCCTGAAGAAAATACCCTATTCTAGATCCTGAATGCCCTCAACTTCCATGGATACCTTCCATCTCTTGGTGCTGAGTAATCCAGGATGGGATTCTGCTTTGGTGGGCTGGGGAAATGAGAGGACACATTCCCAGTGGAGTAGCAACGGTGCCTTCAGCACACTCAAGATATTCTAAGTCTCACATTTACTTTTCTAAGCTGCTTTCAAATGTTTCTAACTTCTTTCTGTACATATTTTATTGTATGTGCTTTTATGAAAGAACAAAGAAAAAAAACCTCCCAACAAAATAATGGTTGGGGGAAATAAAAGGGTTTGTACTGTACTTTAACTGCAAAATAGCAAACCCAAGGATAATGTTTACATTTATGTTCTCTGTGGTGCAGTGTCTTGATCATCTTATCCAAACTTCAGCATTTTCAAGTCTTGCTGCATTGCTCACTAAAGGAAGGGACAGGAGCTGTTCAGTGTCAGCCTGTGGCAGAATCTTGCCAAGGAAGGAATTTGCTGACTGAGCTGGGATTTCCTTGGGAACGGGCTGAGAATTCTCTGCTGAACTTTTTTCATGATTGTCTTACGTTGTTTCTGTGGTCCAAAGTGGAAGTGGGAAATGGATTCATTTCCAGACTCTGCCTGACCTGTTGTCCTCTGGTGGTTTCAATGATGTCTCATCCCTTTTGGATGCTGCCCTGGGCTGAGTTCAGGACATGCAGGTGAGAGCACTTTTCCAGAAAAGAGAAGCAAACTCTTGGGTAACGATTCAAATCACAATGAAAGCGTGTTCATAAAAATTAACACTTGGTTTGTACATTTTGTAAAATAGAATATTGGTTTGATTTGGTCAAAACCAGATGGATTTTGGGATACCTTGGAGAATATCCAGAGAGCTTTTGGAATTTCTCTTTCACTTGAATCTGCAGTAATTGTTTTATCACTGTTTTGAAGCTGCTTACGGGTTTCCTAAGTGGAGTAATCAGTTATTTGATAACTGGTTACTTTTTGAACTAGAGAAGTGTCAGGCTTTTTGCTTTGAAACTATTTTATTTAAACATGCAATAATTGAGAGAAGGAACAGGGTATGGTGTCTAGAGAAACGTGTGGATGAGTGGAGAATGAGCAGTTCTAGGCACACTGGAGAAGTGGAAAATCATTTTGCAGAGGTGAAATGATTTATGAGCCTTATCTAGTATTTTTTTAAAGATAAAACTATATTCAGCACTTTTTATTTATGCTTTTTATAATAGTGAAGCTATTCTTGACTAAATTGCCGAACTTTTAATTTTCAGAGTGCACAGGTAATGAAATCTGTAATCAAAGTGTACTGAACTACTTTAGATCTACATTAGGGGTTGGCTTGAAATTTCTTCTTTCAATTTATCACCTGCTGCAATTGCATTGCTGGCTCTGAGGCTGCTGCAGCTTTGCTTGTACAGAATTGCTGCTGGGAAAAGGCATTTTCTGGGTGGCTGCTGAGCCCAGGCAGAGCTGCAGCCCCAGCTCAGGCAGGGCAGGCACTTTCAGTCCTGGCTTTTCCTCCAAAAGCTGCCTTGATTCTCCCTGGCCCAGCTCCTTTCACAGCCTGGGCTGTGTTAATTCATCACAAAGTCCCTTTGCAAGGCTTTTAATCTGCAAACTGCAGGAGAGTGAGGCTGGAGCTGCCCTGGAGTTCTGCATTTGAACTGCTCCAGGAGTGTTTTTTTTTCTGAACCAGAAAAAAGCTGAAATGCACCTCACTTTATTGGCAATAAAACCTCATTTTGCTGATGTAGCTTATTCAGAATAACTTGGTTAAACTGTGCTAAAAATGTGGGTTTGCTGATTAAGAGTTTTTAATAAAAGGGTTTGTAAGTCACTGGCACCTACAGATCCTTTCATCTACAAAGGGCCAAAATGGAAGCTGGGAAATTTAATTTGGGGTTTTTTTTGGTTTTTTTTTAAAGTTATCCTCTGGTAGAAATTGAAGAAGTTGTTACCAACTGTAGTAGGGAATAAAGCAGTGTACTGAATTTTTAAAAGACGAAAAATCCTGTGACATATTGTTAACGCATTAAAAACTTGGTTTTAAATATTGTTGAGAAACAAAATATTTTTCAATCCTTTCAATAAAATCCTTTTGTAAAGTTGGATTGATCAATTTGCCTTTTGACTGGGGAGAATATAAAATTGGGAATTCCCAATCAGTTGCTTGGAATTGTGTGGGGTTTGACACACATCCAGTGGGACAGTGGCATCTGTTTTCTGGGAACACACCCAAGGCTTTTTTGAATGTGTGATAGCAGACTTTCCTCAAAAGTCTCAAAAGAATTGCTGGATTTGCTATGCAAGTTGAAACAAATCTAGCTACAACCAGCTGGGCTGCATTAAATACTGTTTTTAAAGGCCCAATGATAGAAATATAAAGAAAGAAATAGATAAGGGTAATGCTGGTTAAATGATCTGATAATTTGATATCCAGGAAGTTTAGGATTAAAAGTGAGCTTTAATTGCCTGTGGTAGAAACAGAATGAAGTTCCAGACACTTCTCCCATGGAACTTGAGATGAATGATGATGTTGAAGTATTTTGATTTCAGAATTAGTCTGTAATTCATGCCAGCAGTTGAGAGATGCCATTTGCAGTAAAGGAGCTGCCTTTAAATGGAGTTTTTGTTTGACAAGGAGCTGCCTTTTGCAGGTGAAGGAGCTGGATTTAAGTGGAGTTGGTGTTTGGAAAGGCTTTTCCATCTTTCCACGCTTGGCTGGTGACACAAACTCTTTGCTGTCCATGGCCAGAGCACTTTCTGTGACATTGATATCAAACATTTCCTGCAGCTCACTCTGCCCCAGCACAGGCCTGGTGCAAGAGCAGAGCTTCCCCTCCTGCTCGGGGCTTGGCTGAGGGAAGCACTGAAAACGTTTCATTGTGACATTTAAATGTTTAATTCTTCCAGCAACAATCCCTGGTGCCACTGGGGCTTGTGGGATGAAGTCAGAGGCAGCTGCTGCTCTGTCAGCCCCTGCAGTCTGACCACACACCATTAACTCTTCATGCCTCCCTTGGGCTGCAGGAAAAGTGGATTTGATTCAGGTTTAGGAGATCAAGATGAGAAAAAGGTATTTGTAATAGAAGTTCTGATTTAGATGGCTAGGATGAGAAAAAAAATTACAGCAGTTTTGATAGAATCCTTGTAAATCTCCCTAATAAGCTGTAATAAATTTTTAATTTTAATTGCTTTTTGCAGTGTCCAGCTGCCTGCAAATAAAGCTGTGTCTGAAGAGAAGTGCAATGTCCACAGCACCCATTAATTCCTCTTCTTCCCTATTCAGTTTTGTGATTTCCCATTGAAGTGCTGCTGTTCCATGTGCAATAATCATCCACACACAAACTGTGCTTATACTTTATTAAAAAATAGCCAGTAGTTAAAGGTTCCAGTCAATAAAATACCCAACTTTTAAATTACAATATTAAAGGCTTAATTGTAACAGTCCCCCTGGTATGAAATGGCACCGTGGTTACACTGAGGGAGAGGTGAGGTTACAGGGAGTAGTTTTCATGTGTAGCTGGGGTTAAAAAAAAAAACAATAATTGAAATATTCTGAAGCCAGAGGAGCAAAAGGAGCTCTAGACAGGGGACACTGCTGTCACCAAACCATCAGGGCTCAGCAGTAGATCCAAGCTGGGACATGATGGCAGCACAATCCCCTTCTAGACTCGGGTACAGAGCATGGGTGTGCAAATTTCCTTCATGATGTTTGTGTCTATCCAGGCAAAAAAGCATTGAAAGGAGCAACAATCCCCACTGCCATGCAGGTGTGAACCCCCTGTGCTTCCAAAGCAGCAGGAAAAGGAGTGAAAGATGCTTGGTCCTGTCAGCAGGATCAGCTGGGAATTTCCCAAGCATATTTTGCTTTTTAAGCTCTGTCTCACCTGCACTGCTTCAACAAACATGTGCCACCTTCCTGAACCTCCTCCATCCTGGCAAAGTGACTTTTTATTGCCACCCTGAATGCTGCAGGTCCTTGCTCAGGAGTTGCTGGGGTGGCTTCACTCAGTGAGAGCTGCACGGGGAGGGCTCAGGACTCGATCCTTCCATAGGAAGAAAACACTGTGGGAAGAGAAGGAGCTCAGTCAGCAGCACTGCAGGGCCTCAGCCACCCTCAGGAACAGCAGCTTTGGCTTGTGTC